GAGTGTGGATATGCAGCAAATATTTTCATCATTTCACAAAAGATATGAGTCTGCTGCAGCTGTACCAGTATTGTTTATAACTCTATTTCTTATGCTCTATAAGATGGCGTTGTCCATTTCCCTCTATCTCTGTGCATCACTCTTGTTACCTTTCACCATTAGTTCTTTGAGAAGTAATTTCTTTATCACACAGCCATCCAATTTTTCAAATCTTATTTCCTCTTTCAGTTTTTATGAAGTGACTGGAACTGTCTGAGATTAAGGCCCCATCATTCCCACCATTCCTGGGAAATCCACAAACATTGCCATTTGAACCTAAAAGCTTCCTAATCTAGGGCTTTGCCCCCAGACCCTAATCCTATTGCTATCTTTCCTGATTGGGGGCTCTGCCACCAAACCCCCACCAATCGTTGTGGACTAACTTTCTGCGCAGAATTCAAATCCTATTTTCCTAAATTTGGATGTTATTTTTTTGCATGCACAGATTATTTTGGTAAACCTAGAGGACACTATATCATAAAGAAAAATAAATATTCTCCTTCTATATGATGTAATCAACACCATGAAAGTGAAAAAAAATATGTGCTCTCACATGTTGTGGTTACAAGAAGCATCTAATCTTGATCAAACTGACTTTTTTCAAGTCCCTCTACATGTTTACACTGTGGTCTCAAAAAGAAAATTGACCATAAAACTCATCCAAACTGTAGAGTATTTTTTTTTTTTTTTTTGCACTGGGAATATTACATCTTTTAGTGCTTGGAAAACATTATTTTGTCTACATTTGTGCAGACGGATCTGTGGACGAATGATGAAACAAGTGCGTACAAAGGTCAAAAGAATTTTATGCACGGAAGATGAAAAAAGTGTGCTCAGTAAGTTACCCAAGAACTAAATTTGCACGGGGAACATGTCCAAACTCTACAGTCTGGCAAGTCATTACTGCAACATGTCAACTAGTTCATGTGTTACTATGTGCTTGTGAAAATGTTTTTTCTATTTGTTCCCATCTATTCCACTAAGTTTGGTATCTTGTATTTTAAGCCAATATAGTGAAAATTCTTTGAAAGTTATTGACATTGCCTAAGTCACAGTGTGCAAAGTGAACCTCTGAATTGTGTGAAATGTGGAAATAAAAGCAGAGTAGATTGATTATTCATGATGCATTTCCCAGAGCCCAACAAGTGTTTCCACCAGTTCCTAACTTACGCCACTAGCGACAGTACATCTTCAAGCCAAAAATATTTTCCAGGCAGCTTCAAAATCGGCATGCGCGTGTTCGGGAACCTGCCCACGTGCCGCCAGCCACAGGCGACAAAATCAGAGCAGAAGCTCCAATCTAGCATCCCACCAGCAGAACACCAGGTAATGTTTACTTTTCCGGGTATCTCATATGTGTGACACCCATCGTAAGTAGGTTAAGGTAAAAATAGTAGGCTACTAGAAAGGTAAATTTTTGGAAGTTATTGTATTGAGACTACAGGGATCTGGGGGAGGGGCCCCATTTAGGGAAATACAGAGATTGGGAGGGGGTCTGGGGGTAAAGCACCCGGTAGGGAAATACGGTGATCAGGAGGGAGTCCTGGGGCGAAGCTGCCGGATTAGGAAGGTTTTTGGTTCACAAAGCCATCTGTCTGATCCTTTGCTCATTTATGCAATGCATTGCTGAATCTTCCGTGGCCAAATCTTCTCTCAGGATTTTCTATTTTCCACTTTCTTTATCATATGATAAGCAATTATTAGCTTGGGGTTTTAGTTTTCCACTTTCTTTGGCTCTTTAACATGCCTGCAATGAGTGAAATCCCCCCTCCCCAACTCCTGATTCCCCACAGGATCTCCCCAACATTGCCGGCTTGAGTAGGGGAAGTTTCTGACAGGTGCACCATTCGAAATCACAAAATATATACATTACACAAATATTTCTCATAGAAAATAGTATTTTTCTTTGGAAAATACACGCATTTGTCTTAGAATTAATTACCATTATTTTAACAGTAACGACTGTTTCCCACATATGAGACACCCAGAAAAAAAAAATTGCTGGGCGTCCCGCCAGTGTGACGCAGTATATTTTGAAGCCAAAAATAAAAGTTTTCAAGCAACTACACGCGGGGCTGCCCCGGAATCTGCCCGTGCACCGATTTTGTACCTGCCTGGAAACTTTTATTTTTGGCTTCAAAATATACCGGAAGTGTATATTCTTCCTTTTCTCCATTACAGTGTTATTACATTTTCCTGAATATATATACCAAAGTATTATGTGTTACACAACTTTCATATTATCAACTAGCAAAGGTAATTCCATATATAAAAAGTATCTTATTTTCTGTAATTCTGCCCATTACAGGCAAATTTTACCTTGCATTACATGGCTGTGGGAAACTGGAATCAGCCCCTTCGAGGAATGAGATGAACTTCCCTGCACAAGGCTGGTGAGAAATTCAAGGTTGGCACAGCATTGCACAACACTTTGCAAATGGAATCAGTGCTTTCCGCCACTGGTATCTATGCAGCTTATGGAATTCAAAATCCTTTGTTCAAATGTGGTCCCAGGTAAATATCGCAACGAAAGGGAATATTCAAAGAAATAATGGCCCTTCCAAATAACCCTTTTCTACGTGGGTTAAATAACCAGAAATATCCATCTAAAAATTCAGGTACCTGTCTTCAGAAACAGTTAAGAGCAAAGATGGAGAAATTACGAAACCATGTGCATGTCAACAGCAACCAACAAGGAAAAATACAATTTTCCACAAAACTACAGAACAAAAACAAATTCTACAGCAATGATGAGAAAATCGGATTCCTCTTCGTCTCCTCACCTTTTTCACTTCGAATCTCTTCTTGTCTCCCTTTGAAGTGCTGGAAGACGGCACTTCGACTTCATCTTCCAATGGGTCCACTTCCATCGCTGACATTTTATTCTGAAGAAAACAATTCCAGCAGAAAACAACCTCCTCTCTGGCCAAGGGGAAAGGTTATTTTCACAACAGAGCGGAAACGCGATTTTGATTTAGATGAAATGATAACACATCTTTATTTCGAGGCATTTAAAATTATTTTAGTTTTATTCATAAATAAATTCAGATTTTTACGTATTTTGGGAGTTTCCTTGCCAGATTTTGAGGAAAGTAGTTATTTTTACCGTACTTGTGCTACGTATTTTTTAAGCATCTATATTTGAGTAATTTCCCTTTATCATATAGGCATACATGAATTCTAGTCACTGCTTATGCTCTCAAGTGCACTAGTATATATTGATTTTTATTGTATTGTAATACTGCAAGGGTGAGTACGCCAGCGGCGTGAACAAAAAGTAGAAAATTACCTACTCTAAGGTCATTTTTTATGCCAAACTTTAATTGGTATAATTTAGTAAAATTTACATATATACATATATATATGTATATATATATATATATATATATATATATATATATATATATATATATATATATATATATATATACAATGATAAGATTGTGGTCCTACCTAAGAGTAAGACCTTGAGGGGGGCAAACAGAGTCTTCAGGAGAGGGGGAGCCTGACCCAGCCTCCCTTGATTGTCACTCCTGATATATATATATATATATATAATATATATATATATATATATATATATATATATGTGTGTGTGTGTGTGTGTGTGTGTGTGTGTGTGTGTGTGTGTGTGTGTGTGTGTGTGTGTGTGTGTGTGTGTGTGTGTTTACATATGCATATATTTATGTATATATATATATATATATATATATATATATATACATGTGTGTGTGTGTGTGTGTGTTTGTGTGTGTGTGTGTGTGCGTGCGTGTCTGTCTGTATATACACCTATGTGTGTGTTTTATATATATATATATATATATATTATATATATGGAGATATATTATATTATATTTATTATATATAATTATAATACATGTATGTATATAACATGTATATACATATGCATAGATACATATATATGTATATATACATATATATACATATATATGTACACACATATGCATATATGTTAACACACATAGATATGTACACATGCAATATACATAGCATGTATTTACATTCATACATGAACACACACACATACATACATATATATATATATATATATATATATATATATATATATATATATATGAGTGAACATATCAATGATATTAAGATATATGAGAAATAGGGTAATTTAATTCATTTCAAGGTTTCCAGAAATAGTCAATGATGAGGCAGAATGATGCCATGCTGATCTGAAGATTTTAATGATCAAAATAGTATTGAATCTACCTGAGATAGCTTTGATTAAATTACTAGAGTAAAGTAATTCCGAGGATTTATGTTGGGGTTAACAATGACCCCTATATATATATATATATATATATATATATATATATATATATATATATATATATATATATATATTCATGTGTGTTTTTTTTTTTGTTTTTTTTGGGTGTGTGTGTTTTAGGTCGCGTGTGCGCGTGTGTGTTTATTTGCGTATGTGTGTTTAGAAATATCCACACACGCACACACACACACACACACACACACACACACACACACACACACACACACACACACACACACACACACACACACATACACACACACACACACACACACACACACACACACACACACACACACACACACACACCACACACACACACACACACTCCTATCTGTCTGTCGATCTATCTATAAGTGTATATCTATATCTATATCTATCTCTCATATATATAAATATATATATATATATATATATATATATATATATATATATATATATATATATATATATATGTTGATAGTCCGGGAGTTAGTACAAGAGAGAGAGGTAAAGAGACAGATAGAGACAGAAAATTATATTGCAAGTCAGCTGATAGAAAAAAAACACTAAAATTCGAAACCAACCCATTAAAAAATATGTAAATAGATCACCAACTTGCACCATTTTAGTCATTCCCTAAAACCCCCTGTCAGCTGATTCGAACCTCAAGTTCTCTGCCAAGTAGGAATCCGATTGCATGCGAAGAGGTGAAAACCCCCTAACGAGAAGCTGAGCGACCACAGGAGATCCGACTCCTTCTCGAAGGGATTCAACTTCCTTTTGCTGACGTTCGCGGTGTTCATTTGTCTATTGTTATTTCATGACGGAATTGTTTGGATTAATTATCCTTCAGAGCTCGACCACAGGTGTGTCTCGGCCCAAATAACGGACAGAGAAGCCCCCATGACAGACGGTATCACTAAGTGAAGGCGACGAGACGTGGTTCCCCGATTAGGCGTAAGGCGCCAAGATGACTGAGGACTTCGGGGGAGTGACGATGAGTGACGAAGACAGCGAAGAGGACACGCAACTCCACTCCTATCAGTGCAGGCAGCCTACGGAATTACAGGTGAATGGGGTGATATGGTTTTACTACGAGTGGGAGGAGTCTATTGGAGTAAGGTCATACTGAATGGAATATTAGGTGCAGTTCGGTCGCTTTTGGCCTGCATGACATCGTCCAGGACCCAAGGAGAGGGAAGTTCTCTCGCGGGCGGAGTGGGAAATTTGGGATTGCTTCATTCCCTGGATGGAATATTTTCCTAGTATGTTTGCCTTTCCCCAGCAGGTTTGCAATTTTTCCTCTGTAATTAAATAGCAGTTTTTTCTGAAGTATCCGTGCAATGCTAATGTATGCATTATTAAAACAAGTGCTTCTGTTAAATGGGATTGTGCACTTAGTAATGATTGTCTGTACATTATTTTTATAAATAAGGTTCAGCATGCTGATAATTTTTTATTTAGCTAAGTCTCTGCCATTTCTTTAGGTTACTTGAATTAATCTTTATGGAGATAGCAGTGATGATTAATTTTAAGCATAATCTGGTAGGCCTGTTCTGACTGCAGTAGTCAGCATTGGTAAATCAAATACAGCATTTAGTACCTATGCATAACACCGTGAAACTGCATAAGGAAAAATTATTTAAGTCCTATTAGTTTGTATTCAGGGATGAAGGGGTTGAAAAAAAATGGCCCTACCAGCTATGCCCCCAGTCCAATAGCTTTTAGCTTCTAATTTTGGGTACAGCTTTAGTTGTCATGGAAATCCTACAGTTCATAACAAGAAACCTGTATATGTTTCATGACTTGCTTTTGGAAGTGAGCAGCTGTACACATCAAACACCCTGCCGGAAAAGGCTAGATGGATGCCAGTAGCTGCGGAAAGGCTTGACGGATCCCAGTAGCTGCTGGAATGAGTGATACACAGAAAATTCAGGATCCGTCAATGTAGGATTAAGTAATACAGACAAAAGATCCTTACTGAAGTCTATTTACAAAGTCCTAATGGTCGACTATGAAATCCTTCAGGGTTACAATTTGCTGTATCTTGTTTTTCTTCGCAAGGTAAACAAGCTGATGGACTTAGAATTTGAAAGGCGAGCGCACGTTATATTTTCGTCATTTAGGAGTGACTATAAGGCTGCTGTAGCTGAAACTATGTTCTATCCCACTCTATTAGCAGTGTCCATTTATGTCTATCTACGAGTGTTGGTCTCTGTAACCTCTACCCTTGTAAAGGTATGGATTCTCATCATATAATGCTTAAAGACCTATGTAAAAGTCTATATAAAGTAGAGTAAAAATGCAAACAACATTTTTTGTTTCTGATGACAATAAAGTCAACTATTTG